AAAAAAAAAAAAACAAAAAAAAACTAAGGGCCTTGCCACACCATGCCTGGAAAAGCATGCCATTTAACAGCAATTTCGTAAAAACGAGCATATTGCAAGGAAAATGAGCGATAGCGAACGTCAGAAATCAAACAGCATCATACACATGAGACCAGCTAGTCGTGACCTCGAACCAATAGCGGAATTGCATCACGAGTTTCCTCAAATAAGAGCACAGCAAAAGCTCAGAATTAACAATGCTGGAATAGTCGCATCATCATCAACAAAGAACCAATGTCGATATCCTATCTGGTGCTCAGCGCCCAGACTACAGATGGCAGATCCTATCTAGCCTATCTCCGATGCCGCTGATAACGTCAACAACTCCCCGAAGTACGAGCAGATCTCGGACAATGCCGGTCGCCTCAAGCACCAGGTATGTGTCTCATATCACTCACAACCTCGATCCCCAACTCACAGATGCCACATGCACCCAAGAACCACCATGCGCCCCATCCAGCATACAGCAGCGCAGCTCGGCTATGGCTGCCTGCCCCTTCCAGCTCGCCCGTGAGCGTGTGAGCCTGGCCAGCGTTAGCGCAGCAGCGGTTGCGCAGCATGCAGCAGGTGCCCGAATGCCAAATGCGTGGGCAGGCCCTTCCCTATATGGAAGTGGCCCGCTGCTGCGTGCGGTAATGCGGTACTGGGCTCCGGCCCAGAAGCTTCTGGTAGGGCCCACAAGGCTGAGCCTCAGTCCATTGGAAACAGGCCCAGGGCCTGTGGTGGTTACCAGCACCCAACTGCCCTCAGCCTTTGTTCGGTCTATGTTGTGTATCCGGCCCAGGGCCTGCCTCAGCTACATACGATGAAAGGCAGCCTGAGCCTGGGCGCTTCCAACCAACTGGCACTGCGCAACTGCCTGAATTTCCCCAGTTGCGTGGTGACCCCAAGATGGCCTGTAGGCCTCGGTCGAGCCTGCCTTCACTTAGTGGCCGACTGTGTTGAAAATAGGCCCTGTAGGGCATATCGAGGCCTTGTGCATCACATTCCCTCCTCCATACTTCCCTTGTCCTCGGAGAAGTTCATTGAATCTGGCGCTTTCCTTTCTGCAGTAACTTCTCGTAGTGGGCGACCACTTGTGGGGCGGTCTGCATCAGTTCCTCCCGTGTAAACCATCTATCCTCCTTAGGATCAGTGTGATGTCTGAACCAAACACGATACTGCAGCCTCAGTTTCGGAGGTCGTCCCCTGCCTGTAGGCCTTGGAACTGGCATTTCTCTGTGATCCACGATGTCATCGATGTCGACCTCTCCATCCATGGTTGGGGGCAGCATTGAGCGACAAGAAGGAAACTGGTCAGTTTCCCTGAAAGGTGCGAGCTTGGAGGCGTGGAAGACTGGGTAAGTGCGAAGGTGTCCAGGGATCTGAACTACATATGAAGGCCCATCCGGATCATCCCCAACGATATCTAGAACCTCCCAGGGTCCAAAGTACTGTGGCATGAGCTTGCGGGAGATCCCTTGCTCCTGACCCAATTCTGAGGACTTAACCCAAACTCTGTCCCCTACCTGGAATGTAGATGGGCGGCGGTGCTTATTCTCAGTCTCTATCATCGCCGCCTGTGCCCTGTGCATCTCTTCTACCGCCTGCTGCATCAGTTGTTCACATCGATAGGCAAATTCTAGTGTGCCAGGTGCAGCCGTCGGCTGGTTCTTAGGTAACAGGAAGTTCAGTGGTAGTCTAGGCTTGAAAGGCAGTAGAAGAATGTTAGGGCTCACCCCAGTGGCGCTGTGCACAGCGTTGTTGTACAGGCTGGTGATGAGAGCAAGTTTCTCATCCCGGTCCACCTGATTGGGCTTGACGTAGTGCCTTAACAGGTGTTGTACAGCGCGGTTCAGCTGCTCTGCTTGGTCGTTCGCCTCTGGGTGGTTCCCGAAAGTCATTTGCAGTTGTGTAACCTGTTCTGCAGTTGCAGCCTTCCACAACTCGCTTGTGAATCTGATGTCCCTGTGACTAACAATAGACTTAGGAAGCCCAAAGTCCCTGACCCAGTTCTCCTTGAAGACTCTAATTACATACTCTGTTTTTGTTGTTTCAGGCATTGCCACTAAGCTAGCATATTTACTAAACCTATCCACAATGACAAAGATGTGTCTCATTCCACTCTTGCTGGTGACCAATGTGTCCATAAAATCCATGGACAGGCTCTCTCACCAGGCCTTTCCGGGATCGGAAGGGGATTAAGAAGCCCAAGAGGGGCCTGTGTACATGGTTTGTCCCTCTGACATACTTGACAAGTCTCCACGGACAACTTGGCATCTCTCATCATCGTGGGCCACCAGAACTGCTGCAGCAAATTGGCCGCAGTCTTCTTATACCCAAAATGTCTTGTGGCATCATGACACCCGCCTAAAAACAAACTACGCAAAGACTCACGGTTAGGCACACACAAACGTTTATTCCCAGCCTTATCAAGGAACAGTAGGCCATTGACCAACTCAAACTCAGCAGAAGTTGTTTTGTCCTTCATCTCGAGTCTGCGTATGATCTCAACCATAAACGGATCCTCGCGATAGGCTTCCACCAAAGAGCGAGTAACATCGTCCGCAAGCCCAAACTCAGTGATCAGCGCACCGGAGAAATTTGGCCTACGCGACAACACATCAGCAGCTTTGTTGTACTCACCTTTGAGGTACTGGGGCTCAAAGTCATACTGCTCAATGACTTCGATCCAGCGTTTCAGCGCATCGGAGAGCACAGGCTGGGTTCTCATCCACTTCAAGGTCTGATGATTAGTCCTGCCGTAGAAAAACCGCCCAAGGGGGTAATGCCTCCAGTGGGTTAGCGCTTTATAGATCGCATAGAGCTCCTTCTCATAGGTGGACTTAGCCAACTTCTGAGAGGACATCTTTTTGGACATGTACTCAAGAGGCCTCAACTTTGGCCCCTCCTGCTGCGCGAGCACGGCGCCTATGCCATATTGGCTAGCATCTGTGGTGACTATAAACGGCTTGTCAGGATCAGGAAGTTTCAAGACCTCATAGTGTGTCAGAGCATGCTTCAGGTGTCTGAAGGCAGCCTTACACCTGTCTGTCCACTCCCATGGGGTGCCAAGGCGGGTCAGGTCCGTCAAAGGTGCGACCACTATGCTATAGTTTTTCAGAAAGTTGCGATAGTAGCCCGTCATACCTAAGAAGGACCTCATCTCAGTCACAAACTGCGGACGCGGCCAGTCACGAATGCTGGCCACCTTCGCGTCATCGGGCTTCAATCCCTCTGCGGAAATCTCATGACCCACGTACAAGCTACGGGTGCGGCCAAACTCGCACTTCTCGTCGTTGATCTTGAACTTGTGTTGCCGAAGGAGACTAAGGACTTTGTCTAAATGACCAACGTGCCCCTCGACAGTCCTACTCAAGACAAGTATGTCATCAAGGTACACGATGACAAACTTATCCAAGTAATCATGAAAGATCCGGTTCATTGCGTGTTGAAAGGTGCCAGAAACATTGCAAAGGCCGAAAGGCATCACCACAAACCCGTACGGACCGTACCTGGTCTGAAAAACGGTTTTGTGTTGATCCTCAGGACATATTGCAATCTGATGGTACCCGAACTTCAGATCTATCTTACTGAAGTACCGGCACCCTTGCACTCGGTCCAACAAGTCATCGATGCGTGGTAGGGGCTCTCGGTTCTTGACAGTGATGGCATTGAGACCCCTATAGTCAATGCACATCCTCAAAGTTCCCCCCTTCTTTGGTACAAATAAGACATGTGATCCGTAAGGGGAGACGCTCAGCCGGATCCAACCCTTCTCTACGAGTTCCTTGAGCTGTCGGCGAAGCTCATCAAGCTCGCTTGGCGACATCTGATAGATCCTACCCTTCAGAATGCTAGACCCTGGGATAATCTCTATCGCGTGGACGACTTCCCTCTCTACAACCCCTTTCGGCTCTTCAAATAGATCAGGGTATTTAGCGACAACTCCCTCTATCTCCGGCGACATTTTCACTGGCTCGCCTGCTGCGGAGACATAAACTAGATACATACCCTCCTCCGGATTTTGCTTATAATAATTATAGAACACGGCCGCACAAATGCATCCATACGACTCGATCATACTACTAGCCTTAAACTTACGTAATTTGGCGGTCCCCCCACCTGGCAAAGTGTGCTTGACCACTTTTCGGTGCCAGTCAAACTGGGGCTGTGCAACCGAAAGATAGTACATACTCAACAGAATGTCCATTGGGAGATCATCGCTGACTAGGAACGAGACGCGATGTCTCAGTTCCCCTCCCGCGTACGGGAAAAGACAATGTCTTTGAGGTAGTCATTGACTACCATGTGCTGTTTGTTGGCATAGGTCGACTTCACAGGTCGACTCAGGCGCTGCACTTGCCCCTGTAAATGCAGCCTCTCAACGCACACACGACTGATAAAGTTCCGCGTCGAGCAAGTGTCGTAACAGGCCTCGGCCTTACGGCCGCCGATGACTACCTCGCCGACAAACAACTCACCCTTAGGGGCTTTAGCCATGGTCGTCCAAGCAGCTAGCGGGTCCGATCTAGACCACTCCTCCTCTAGCTCCTCTAAGGACTCAAACACATTCAGCGAGCAGAGGATCACTAGGTCCAAATGTGTTTGCGGGACGACAATGGAGTCAGTAGCTTGGGTCATCTCTCGAGATGGTGAGGGTGTGTCCACCACCTCGACCCTGGCAGGAACAACTACTATTCCTACTGGCCCGACGTGTTTCCCGGAGCAGTGCCAAAACTGCTGGCCACATTGCTACCTACGGGAGCGGAGGATCGAACGCCTGCCCCATCGTAGGCGGGATCTTTTCGATCACCTTCTTGTTACGGCACTTGAATTGCTTATGGTCATATTGGCCACAACGAATGCAAGCCTGCCGGGTGTACCGGTCTCTCCACACGTCCTCTGTTAGACCCGCTTTCTCCCATGGAGGAGCCTTGGGGTCAACTTGACTCCTAGACCGGGAGCCTCCACGACGTCTACCGGTCGCCTTGCCTTTTTGTACTGAGGCAGCGATTGTTCCAACCCCTGAAACTTCTACGCTACCCGCCTTTGAACCCACTCCCGCCTGGAAGTCGTCTTCTAACTCGATGGTAGAACCATCATTGTCGACGAACATGATGCCTTCGCCTTCCAGTTGGGAGACAGTGACTTCTTCCTACCGTTCGTTGTGGGTGTTTGTCCATGCCCTATCTTTGCCTCAGGGTCTAGGGCCTTCTTGCTGAACGAAGGGAAGTTGTGCATGTTGAGGTTGGCCTCACCTGCCAACTGATTCCTGAGAGGCATAGGAAAACATCTCAGGTAGGAGGTGAGTAAAACCTGGGGGTCATAGTGCACTCCAGGAACACAGATCAGACGCTCTACTGCGTCTGTGGCCTCTCTTACTGACTTGAACTGTCTATGGTTCAGAGTCAGGATCACGTCAGTGGCCTTTTGAGCCTCCTGAGGATCGTGCCACCTATCTTCCACCAACTTCAGGAAGTCATCCAGTTTTTGGTCGACTGCCCAAGCGCGGAAGTCATGACCGTATCCTTCTAATTGCACCAAACCACTCAACCATCTTGCTGCACTCCCCTCTAAATAAGAGGCAGCCACAAACACTTCCTCGTGCGGCAAGGTTAATTCACACTTGACGTACACTGGCACTGACCTCAACCATGTGTCAAGGTCTTCGCCCCTCTTGTCCCCTGAAAAGGGTTTGGGCGAGGCGATGACCGTCTTTGGAACCCACAGTGTTTGTCCCGACACCTGTCCCACTCCAGGCTGTGGACTTTGGGGACCAGGTTGCTGAACTAGCTACTGCTGGGGCTATGTACCCTGCATCTGTGCAGGTTGTGAGACAGTAGGCTGCCCGGTTACGGCCACCTGCGACAAAGGCTGGAAATAGACTGACTGTACAGGAACCTGCAAACTAGGACCTGCTGAGAACCCTCCTGTTAATGGCATACCTAGGGAAGCGGCTTGGACCGATTTTGGAGAGACATATGGGGATACCCCAGTCACCGGTGGGACGAAAGGAGGAGGATGTACAACGGGCCAGTTATCGGGCCCGGACGACAATGGACCTGCCTGCACTCGCCCGACCAGAACGGCCAGACTCTGCTGGATGTCCTGAAGGAGAGCCGTGTGGTGGTCCTGCATTTCTACTACACCTAGCAGGACTGTCCGCAGCGTCCTCACATCTGCATCCATGTGCGTCAGGTCCATTCCCTCCAACTCACTTACGTCCGCTTGTCTCCACTGCATCCTTGCTCTTCTTCTAATCATCTTTTCTTTCTCTGCCCTTATCTCTCCTAGAGCCTTCTGTAGCTGCGCCTTTTGCAGTGCTGCCTGCTGTATGGCGACCTCATCGGGAGTCGACACTATGGGATGCCTTGCCATAATGCTGGCGGAATGACTCAGGGATTGTGCGACCGTTGACCCTACAGTCCCTAAACTACTAGCCTGAGAGCTCTGCTGCGCAGCAGTTGCCTAGGTTGCTGAAGTAGCGGCCTCACTTGCGAATGCCCTGCTTGCCTCTGCGGCCCTAGCTCTTCTCTGCTGCTGCTACCTGTCTCTCTGCTGGCGGAACAGGAATTTGTCGCTCGCTGGTCCTAATGCCAAATGGGCTATCGGGCACCTTGCTGATCGCAAAATCCTGTCGTCCTCGCTAGTGGTATCCCTGTCGCTCATAAGCTACAAAACTATAAGCAATTTGCACTAGGTCACTCTCCGATGCCTACCGCAGAGTAGTGCAGAGACCGATTTAAAATAATTAAATAATTAATCGGTGGCTAAATCAGAGTATATACATTTGGGTCCAACAGGTAAGTCCAAATTCCTACAAACGAAGCTATCTTGACTTTGACCAGTTCACAAACAGAAAGCACAATGAACACAAGGGTACCTATTGCGGCTTCGCTCGCAAGGGATTGAGGGGGAAATGGGAGAAATGAGTCGGGGCAGTGGGTTAGTGGGTTTTGGGGTGGTGGTCGGGGGTGTTTTTAGACTCATGGTCCCGTGGGGGGTTGTGCCCTAACAGCTATGGCAATGTGTGTGCAGCACCTCCTGCTAGTTGGGGAGGTTCTGCAACAGTTGGCATGCTATGTCTACCCCTACTGTCTTAACCGACTCTAGACTGAAATTCAGGGGCGTACCTTGGTTGGTATGGCACGCAAGTGGCATTCATGAGGTCTTGGGTTCAATCCTCGTTGGCCTCATGTACCTTCCTGGGCAAGCTTGGCGCCAGACACATAGAGAAAGACCGGCAGGGAGGCACATCCTTTTTCCCCGAGCTGTGGAGGTGTGGCGGAGGAGCAGGGAGAGTGAAGAAGCGGGGGAAGAACGCGGAGGAGGGCGGCAGGGGCAGAGAAGTCATGGGGGATGAGCCGGGTAGTTAGTTTGGGGTCTCTCTCTCTCTCTCTCTCTCTCTCTCTCTCTCTCTCT